ATACATACATACATACATACATACATACATACATACATACATACATACATACATACATATATACACATACATACATACATACATACATACATATATATAATTTTTTAAAATAATTAAATTGAATTGTCCTGTGGTGAGTTGTCCCACAGCGAGTTGGCTACAGTACGTTGGCCCATTCCATCTTCAGAATGCCTTTTTTATATTCTCCCAGTGTTTCTAAACTGTAAGCTCTTACCTGCCCATTTAATACTTATCTGTCCTCTCTCCCCACTTCTACAAAGGCATATGCTAATGAATACCAAGACATTCATTCCTAGTAGGAAATACTAATGAATTATTGTGATCTTGGTGAGAGACCTGAAGAAATATCCTCACGCAAGTACACATAGGGTTCACTGTTTAGTGAATATAAAACATTTTCCTTTTGTATCAAGTTAGTCTCTAAGTGATTTCATGGACCTATGTGTGACATTTTCTTGGTAACATTATGTAAATGATGTGTTTTCAACTTCAACTTTTTCAATAATTCATACATTACATTAATTCATAATGGGTATATCATCAATACGTATTATTAGATGTAAATGGAGAGAGTGGTTAAACATCATAAAGTACATTAAATATTTTTCACAGTGCAATTGTAATGATTTAACCTTATTATGGTATTTTCTGCCAAGATCGTATACCCCAGATCATCAACTTGGCATCTCACTTGGCGTTTAACCTAGGCTCCCAGATCATGGCTACCTGCATAGCAACAGGCAATCCACCCCCTGTGCGTGATAACATTGAACTACGCAAGCCCGATGGAACAGTGTTAATAGTAAGAATTTGCCCATTTATGTGTTTTACTTTCTGTCTGATTCTATACTGTATGTGAAGTCTACTCCCTTCTCATTTTGTCTGGCTACCTGAACTTTTCATTGAGTACTGCAACAAACAGTGACCAAGGCCGGGAAGATTCCCTTCCTCTGAATTCTGACCAGGTACTGGGGGCTCCTCCTGTTCTCTGGCATGCACAGAAACCCCCCCCCCCGCTTCCTCTCCCATGGTTATAGCTATGTCATGAATTGCAAAAATGACAAATTCTGGGGACCCTGTATAATTCCAGATGATTCATGAAAATTAGATCAGATGATCAATTTCCCAGAGTGCATCTAATTTTTATGTATTATTTTTCTACATTGGTATTTCAGGATGTCCCATGTTTGAATGGAACTTCAATAATATGGTTGTTTTTCTCACAAAAGTCTGTTAGCAGATTTTGGAGAGATATGATGGTGTTATTGTCTCCCCTTAGCCCACAAAAGCCATCATGGAAAAGGACATGACAACCTGTGAGTTTCAAGTGTCACAAGTGGTCTCTTCTGACTCTGGCCTCTGGGAATGCCGTGTCTCTACTACCGGGGGACAGGACAGTGGCAAGTTCAAAGTTACTGTAAAAGGTGAGAAGGCAGAACAGGTAGTGACAGATCACAGTTAATGCTCATCTTCTGCTTCTGAGATGCAGAAAGATAACACAAATTTTTCCAGAGTTTCTAAGCTTTGTTCTATTCTGATTGTTCTCTATTTAAGAAGAAACACTATCTGTAGCTTCTTTCCACCAACACTTATCCAGGCAAAGGATGATTATTAAGGAAAGATTGCTATTTTATTGAAGTATTAGTTCCCAAACTAATACTGGATTTTAAATCAAGGTAAAGATTGTTAGAAGGATTGTGCCAAGTATAGTCCAGGAAACAGTGATTTGAGAAATTACTGATCTAGGACTTTTTTGATCAAGCGATTTTTCCATCAAAGCAGGAGATACAATCGTACCCTTTTTGTACTCATCATTTCTCCAACCGTTCTCTCCTTTAGTACCTCCAGTGCCATTATCCCCTCCCAAACTTCTGGCCAAGAAGAGCCAACAGCTGGTGATATCCCCTGTGGGGCCTATTGCAGGTGATGGACCCCTCATCTCCATCAAAGTCCTATATAAACCCCAAATTGGAAGTAGCTGGTCATCTATTGAAGGTAAGGAATTTGTTGTATTTGGAATGACTTTTTATGGCATATCCTCCATATGTTGGCTGGAACTGGACTTTCAGATCCCTTCCAATCCTTCCATTCTGTTATTTATCTCTCCTTATTCCAATTAAAGAGATTTTCTAACCTGAGGTTACCTTATGGACATGTTTATGTTTATGTGGGGGGATTTCTTCTGGCCTTGATTTTATATATTGCTTCTAGTGGAGAAAGGAATCTTCTGTAAAGAATAGCATCTCAGTATCCTGTTTCCTCATAGAACTCAAACATGCAAATACAGGTAGTCCTCAACTTATGACTACAATTGAGCCCAAAATATCTATTGCTAAGTGAGACAGTTAAGTGAATTTTGCCCTATTTTATTACCTTTCTTGTCCCAGTTGTTAAATGAATCATGGTAGTTTGTCAAGTTAGTACCATGGCTGTAAGTGAATTTGGCTTCCCCCTGGACTTTGTTTCTCAGAAGGTTGCAAAAGGTGATCACACTATCCCAGGACACTGCAACTGTCATAAATGTGAACCAGTTGCCAAGCATTCAAATTTGGATCACGTGACCATGGGGATGCTGCCACAGTCATAAGTATGAAAAACTTTTTTCAATGCAATTGCAACTTCAAATGGTCACTAACTGAATGGTTGTAAGTTGAGGACTTCCTGTAGTCTCAAGTCAATTTAAAGCAGCAAGTTGCTAAACATCAAAACATCCTTGGTTTTCCTTGGAAGCAGCACAGGTTTCTTTCCACAGGAAAAAAAAAACAATATGGAGAATATTATTGCTAATCTGTTTCTCAGCAGCTTTTTGCATTAATTCTGAAGATGGTTCTCCAGCCATCTAAAGCATTTCTTGGAGTAGACTGGAAGAATCATCAAATAGCTTCCTCACCCTTTTTCTTCACTACAAATATCTACTAAATATTCCTTTGGATCAAATCCTGCATCTACTTTGGCTATACTTCTTCCTAGCCATCTAGACAAAAAAACTAGGAGATTCCAAGTTCTAGATTCCTAGGGTGTCTGCTCAGCCAGTCATGAAATTGCAAGTTATATTTAGAAATATAAACAAGAACTGAATAATATATATTATTCCTCATGGAATGCTTCAAAGAACCTAGATGCATCATGTGCTGGCCACACCACGCCCAGTTTAACGGGGGGCGGGGGGGAACAGAGGTGGGTTGCTGCTGGTTTTGCCTGGATCAGCCGAACCGGTAGTAGCAGCAGCGGGAGGCTCCACCCACCTTCCTGGACACTTCTGTGTATGCACACCCGAAACGATAGCAAAAAAATTGGCAACCCACCTCTGGGGGAAAAGTCCCAATACATCATGTGACCACCCCGTGACGATGTGAGTTTGACACCCCTGACCTAGACTAATGATATTTGTCTCTGCAGTAGATCATAACAGAAAATTGATTATTGTTAGGTGGAGCAAAGAGCTATCAATCCCAGTTACAGGGTTCTTCCCATTGAGCTTTTTGTAATAGAAAATAGATAAAGCAGAACTCTTATAAGAAACCCTTGAATTAATGGCTTCTATACTGATCAGCAGTTGATAACATCCAGAACATCACACTGATGAACCTGCGACCTGTCACAGCCTATATTGTAAAGGTTCAGCTAACACGCCCTGGAGAGGGAGGAGAAGGTGCCATAGGCCCAAGTGCTATCATGGCAACAGATTGCAAAGGTAAGTGCTTAGCATTTGTTCCTCAGATCTATAGTTTTAGGGTGGGAGAGAGTGAGAAAGATTATGAGATTAGAGATTAAAGATATGAGATAAAGAGAAAAAGTCAAACTTATCAATGGGTGTTGGCTTTAATTTGCATTTTATTTTGTCACCATATGTTCTCAGGAGCAATCATGTGCAAGTTGTGCAAAAAAAAAGGATCTATTTGTTCTGGCTTGGAACCAATTTTTTTATTAATGTAGATCCAAGCTCTTTGAATTTGCTTTAATCCTCTTTTTTAATATATGTCTATAACATGCTAGCATTTTCAATTTGGCAGTTTGGCACCTACCCAAATTGGCTAATTTTGAAAAGCTTTACAGGACCAGATACAACTGGTATTTGAGGGGTCCTTGGTGCTCTCTGAGCTTGATTGTTTCCTTGCAGACATTTTATTACTCAAACTAGGTAACATCGTCAATGAAACGTCTGCAAGAAAACAACCAAGCTCAGAAAGCACCAAGAACTTCTCATTTCAATCTTGAACTGCAAATATTCTCTATCGATACCACTGGCAGAGCTTTTTGATTGATCATTAGGATAACCTGGGAATTAAAAAAAAATCTGGAAGAATGTAATAACAAACCAGTTCCACATTATTGCCCAGAAAATTACAGCTCATGACAGCAGAGAAAGTAGCAGAAATGGAGCAATTTAGTAAGTCACTATGACAAAGTCAGACATTGTCTAATTGTCCCAATTCTGCTATTTTCTTCATTTTAAGTTGTGGAATGAATTTCTGCTTGAATCTGGTTGCATCTGCAGGATATTACATTTTGAGTAAGAGGAGATGAGTTGTCACCCTCAACGTGGGAAGAACCTGGTGGAAAAGATTGCAGAGATCTTAGCGGATGCATTAGAATAAGGAAAAGGTGCTAAATGGGATTGATGAAATATATAGGGTGCACACAAGATGCTTCTCAGCTAGAATTACCTTCTCTGATTGCTGGAAAAGAAAATGCCGTGCAACTGGTGGTGGTATTTTTGATCATCTTTGGGTAGGGATAGAGACTTCCTGACGTTTGGTACAGCAACTATTATACTGTTGACATTGTAGAAATAGATAGTGTAATTGTGTGCTGCATTACAAACCATTGAGAAGAGAATTCTACACAAACTTCTGGATGGAGGAATCCAGAATTTCTTGCTACTTTGTGCTATTTAAAAAGGAATCAGACTGATGGATTTATATATTTCTTTATTTCATATAGAGCCAACAGCCAAACCTGTAATTGAACGTTCATCTGTTGAAGGGAGCAACAATCTACACGTAAACTGGAATTTGCCCAAAACTGACAATGTGGGGTCCGGATTTCTTGTCCGTCTCTATGATGCAGCCAAAGAGCTTGTTCATCAAGAAAACGTTACTTCCATGATTGTGCAGTCAGCATATATTCCAAATCTCAAGTTCAAGGAGGACTATTACCTAGAAGTAATGGTCTATCACTGTACCAGTTTGGGACCACCATCTGATCTCCACACATTCAAGATCAACAGTAAAGGTAACAAATCTGTCATTTCTAAAATGAACAGGATCTTCTGGAACGTGACCCGTCAAAACCGCGGAGGACAAAATCGCGATCAACGAAAGCGCGCATGTGACGTCATCACAGCGCGACGAAAACATCGCGCTGTGATCGAAAAATGTAAA